TCGTCGGAGTTTATATATATATATATATATATATATCGTCACAAACAGAACTGCCCGGTAAAACCGTAGGCTATATATATATATCGTCACAAACAGTATATATATATATATATATACATATCGGTGCGCAAATGTGGAAAAAGATCAAACAAAAAAAGGAAAGAAGGAAGTAAAGCTCCGCCTGTTCATCACCTCTTACGTACAAGGCCAGCGACGTGGATGACAGCTTGAGCGCTGGCTGCCCCCATCCYCGTGTGTCACAAGGACCCACTTGCACGCAGCCAAATGGCAAAGAGGTAAAGAAAAGGAGGAGGAAGCCAAACCTGACAGGGAAAGAAAGTGTATCAGTCAAACAACGCAATTGACACGTCCTACAGATACTCCAATTGTCACAAAGCAAATTACACATCCCACAGATCAACATATTTTTACTTTTTTCTTGTTTTCTTTTTTCCTTTTTTCTTTTTTCGGCAATTCGTATTTCTTTTCTCCGTATCTGTCGGTAGTGTTGAAGGTTTATCTGTCCCAACCTCGGCAGATAGGACAGCTACGGTGAGGATGATGTGGATGTTCACAAGGATACCCAAGTAGAGCTGCGCCAGCACAGCATTCAGCAGGACGGCTAGCACGAACCATCCCATCAAAACAGTCCTGACAGAGGACACGTTGTCCACATGTCAAAAAACAGCAGGAGGTTCATCACAGTGCAGCATCATGCAGTTGTGATAGCGTGTCACTACAGTCGGCGGCAGTCGCAATAGATTGATAATGGTTATGGCATAGATGATGCAGTCCACAGCCGAGGCGCACCGCGTCTCTGTCCCGACAGGTGTCACACGAGAGTCGGTCAATAATCCAGAATAAAGTATGATTCGACAATGCATGCAAAAATTCACTTACGTTGAAAATAGCCTGACTCATCGTACCACCATCCCGCAGTTCCCACTGGGCAGCTGCACGAATGAGTGCCATGTAATGCCCGGGTCTGTGTAAAATACAGGCAGAAATATGAGGATGGGTATTGAGGTCGTCGCCTGGCGTCGCATGATGCAAAAAAAGGTGGCGGCCGTGGAACGCTAACTGTAAGACGTTTACAGTAAAGCCTCCTGAGGGAGTATAGTTACTCCCTACACTCAGGAGGTGGACTATTATGGTCATACAGCGGCTGATTTTCAACAGCGTCAAGCTGATAAGCAATCGTAACAAATTGGGATGCAGTATAACATTGACGCTGATAAGCCATTGAGGTAGGCAGACATTTGTGGCTGTCAAACCACAAATATGTGATAGGTCTCCCCGCAGATCGGAATCGGTGGCTGTCAAACCACAAATATGTGATAGGTCTCCCCGCAGATCGGAATCGATGGCTGTCAAACCACAAATATGTGATAGGTCTCCCCGCAGATCCGAATCGGTCACCACTGGAAAGCTAGATCTGATCTGGCGGGGTCGGCGCGTAAATGACGAACGCCGTCGGCGTGGCAGAGCTGGCTGCCGGTAAGACAAAGAACCCCGCAGATTACCATCAACACGACGTCGAGGAGGAGGGGGACTGGGAGGAGGAGAGAATGAACGAACCTGCCGACGTCCCAATATGGACAACGAAGATAAGGGAGGGTCAGGTCTCAGCCGGCGTGGGGAAGAAGAAGAAGAAGGAGAAGAAGAAGAAGAAGAAGAAGAAGAAGAAGAAGAAGAAGAAGAAAATAGGAAGAAGAAGAAGAAGAAGAAGAAGATGACAAAGAAGAAGAGGATGCAGGTAATGAGGGAGGAGAAGGAGAGGGAGGGGGGAGAGGGAGAGGAAGGCAGAGGGGAAGCAGAAGGAGGGAGAGAAGAAGGGAAAAGTGGAGAGGAGGGGGGAGGGGAGGGGAAGATGGGCAAGGAG